GCTGCTGCTGCTGCTGCTCCAGGTGATGCAGAATCGCTCCGCTTTTTTTGTCTGAAGCAGGGTATAATAGTACTTTCCTGCTTTGCATTGCTTCAATGGACCAATTACAGAAATTCCTCTCTCGCCACTGATTACTTTCAAACTAAACAAACAAACAAATGAACAAAAAACAAAAAACAAACAAAAAAGGCAATGAGACATTACATGAATGTACTTTGTAATTCAACACATTACAGAAATGTAGTGGAGTAGAAAGTACAGATACTTAATGTAAAATGTAGTGGAGTAAAAGTAAAAAGTACCCATGATTAAATCTACTTAATTAAAGTACAGATACATGAAAAATGTACTTAAGTACAGCAAGAAAGTACTTGTACATACACTCTAAAAATGAAATGTTGGATTTACTTAACCATGTTATGTGACCTGGTTCCACTTAACTGAGTTGAGTAAATTCAAAGCAACATACTCATGTTCTTTGGTTAAAAAACTGGTATATTGCTTTGAATTTACTCAACTCAATTAAGTGGAACCAGGTAACATAACATGGTTAAGTAAATCCAACATTTCATTTTTTTTACAGTGTAGTTACATCCCACCACTGGGATGTAACAAAGTTGTACTTAGTTACATCCTACCACTGGGATGTAACTCTACCATTGGGATGTAAATAACTTATTTTGAAAACTTTACTCACATCTCTGAAAATGTCGTTTGTTTTTGTTGTTTTACATTTTCTGCTTCTAAGAGAGCTGTTTCTCCATTTGGGAGTCAAACTTGTGACGTTTTTGCTACGAGTAAGCAAGTGTCCCACCGTGCCAGAATATTTTGTTTTCTAAAACTGTGATCCGTGTTGGCAAAATGTTTTAAAAGTGAAGAATTTTCAATATTGATTCATTATATTTTTCAGTTCTCATTCTTAACAGCTTCAAAATGATATGTTGTTTGTTGACATTTGGTGATTTACTGGACCGAAACTGACATAAAGAAAATTTTTAATTATGTGCTACAATACATAATTTGTTGGAACTAAGTTGGAGAAATAAATATGAAGGACAATTACATTATAAAACATGAGATAAAGTTCTCCTTTTTAAAATTAATTGGTGCATTTAAGTGTATTTATTTATTTATTTGACTACATATATTATTGTTTTTATTTTTATTTAAGTCAGACATTGTTGGATTTTTTTATAAAGACTTTATTTGATGGAAAAATAAATCTGTGTATAAATTATTAACTAAAGGCCGTATTTTGTAGAAGCAACCATCGAGCATTAAGTGTTAACAATTTTTCACAAAATATAGAAGTGTTTGTGTTGTTTTAATACTGTTAGAAAATAAATAAATAAATAAATAAATAAATAAATTAGTTAAACTATTTTTTTCTGCCTCAAGGCCTATTGCTAAAAAAAATACTGAAAAGTTGAACACATATTCAGAATAAACAGACGTTTTCTATATTGTTTTATGCTACGCATTGATTATAGTAAATCCAAAACATCTATACATACTAGTTATTTTTGGGATTTTTATTTTTGTAAAGAGTCACAAAAATAAGCGATAAAGGTAAGATGAAACGTGTAGTGAATAAAAACCTTGTTCAGGTGACAGGTTTCAGCGCTGCACACAGGAAGTGTTTGTCAACCTGTTAAAAGGTTCCGGCTAGCTGGGGTTAGCCGACAGCCGGGTTCCGTCATTGTGTAGGGATGGAGGTTACACGCACAAGTAAGAACCTGGCCAGCTTTTGTGTTCAGTTTATTTTTGCAGTTTTCATTATAAACGACGACAATTTGCAGCACTGATATTTATTTAAAAAAACAGGGAAGACTACAGATACACATTTCGTGTTTGTGCTTCTTGCTAGCATGCTAGGTTCACATATAGCCGCTGTGCTGGAGGTTAGCACGCTATCATGCTAATGTTCATTTTCCTGTGTCCAGATTTTAAAGACTGTTTGAGCACGGTGTGCAGCGCCATAGACGAGGCGGACTTTCTTGCCATCGATGGGGAATTTTCAGGTATCTGTTGCTCCATTCAGTTGACATGTGGTAAAAAAAAAAATAAACAAGAGAAGCCACCGCGCGGTTTGCAAATCATAATTTTGACTATTTCAGGAATAAGCGACGGTCCCAATGTTAGCGCGCTAACTAACGGGCTGGATACACCGGAGGAAAGGTACACGAAGCTTAAAAAGGTAAACCAAAAACATTAGCCTGCCACAAACGGCAGTGTTCTGTTAACTATAAGTGTATTATTTACAATTATTTTGAAACTCCTCACAGCATTCTATGGACTTCCTCATGTTCCAGTTTGGATTATGTACATTTAGGTATGACCAGGCAAAGTCAAAGTGAGTTTGATACACACAAAACCCATCTATTAAACATCTGCTAATTTGTGAAGTACAATGTTTTCAGCTTCTGGCCTTATTGGATGTAGATTTTGTGTGTGAGGTTTATTTTTACTGTAGTTCTTTATTTGACATGAGCATTTTTAATAAGTTGGCAGAGATGTTGCCTTTTCTAGCAAGTGTCATCAAAGTATTGTTTAATGCAAATCAAAAAAGTTGTACAATTTTTAAAGAACTTCTTATCGTTTCAAATTTAAAATGTATGTGGTTGTGTAACTTAAGAAAATATATTTATGTCTGTTCTTGAAAAGTATTTAGAGCTAACTGAGAGCCCAGCAACTAACTGCAGCTCCAACATTGTAAACTATAGATTGGCTTTTTGTGCTTTATGCATTCGTTATTCTTAAAAGAAAATTCACWAAAAAACTGAATGTTGCATATCTGATCCATGTTTTTTTTTTCTTTTCTTGTAGGTATATCACAAAGCCTTTTAATTTTTATGTTTTCCCAAAACCATTTAACAGGACATCTCCAGACATAAAGTTTATCTGTCAAGTAAGTGTGGCTTCTTTGAGTTGTTGCATTTTATGATCGTAAACAAGTGATGTTTATGATTATACAAAATGATTGAAGCGGGTTTTTTTTTTTTTTGTCACTTCAGAGTTCCAGTATCGACTTTCTCGCCAGTCAAGGATTTGACTTCAACAAGGTGTTCTGTCATGGTGAGCAAAGCATAAAGAAACAAACATCTGACAGAAGTGAAAATTGTTTGAATATCTTTATTTTATATTAGTACTGAGTTGTAGGTTGTGCGTTTCTTTTTGTTGTTTTAACGTGAGACCATTGCAGTTTTGGGATTCGGATCAGATTTTAAAATTGATTTTCAATTTTTACCAGTTTTGCCATACAAATTTCATTTTTGAGTTTTCAAACTTACCTGGAGCAGCAAAACAAGTTTTCTGTAAATAATGTAAATATTGTATACAAAGAAAATTATTATTATTTTTTATTTTTATTTTTTATTTTTAAGGAATCCCATACCTAAATCAAGAGGAGGAAGCCCAGCTGAGAGAGCAGACAGAAGAAAGGAGAAATCAACATGCCAACGGTTTAGGGACTCCATCCTTTATCTCCCCATCATCCTCTAAAGTTCCTGCTCATGTACCRGATGAACAGAAAGACTTCATTAATAAAGTGGTGTAAGTGTTGTGCTCTTTTTCTACCAAAGGTTCAACCTGTAGGTGGTGGGCAGGGTTATTTATTTTTTAAACTACAATTTTCTGCAAAATATCTGGAAATTTCCACAAGGATTAAAGATAAATGAACTTTTTGCTRTTTATCTTTTTTWWGTTTCTCTTTTTTGTTTTGTTTCTACAAACAGGGAAAAGGTCGAGGCTCTCTTCAGTAACAARGAGAAGACTTTGGAGTTGGAGCCATGTACTGGGTAACTCTGGCCTTTCTCTTTAAGAAGTCACATAAAACCTTTATTACATTTTTTTTCTTTAACTCTGTGAATGCATTCCTGGATAATAGGAATTAGATCATCAGAGGTACAGCACAGGCTGAACGACAGGAAYATAAAAGTTGGGTCAGACTGAGATGGTTTGGACGTGTGCAGAGGAGAGACAGTAGGTTTGTTGGTAGAATATGTCAGGAAGAAGACAGTGGTGATGCTGTATGTGGATGCAGTTGYAGTGAGGACAGYGAGAGATGGAGGAAGAAGACTCTGTGGTGATAGTTAAAGAGGGAACAGAGAGAAAAAGAACTGAAAACATAAACTATATTTTCTCTCCAGATTCCAGAGAAAGCTGATCTACCAGACGCTGAGCTGGAAGTGAGTGATGCCTTTTTGTTTTCTTCTTTTATTGATACATGGTGGTAGACTAAAAAAAACTTTTGGTCTGATTAGGTTTTCCAAGGGTCTTCARGTGGAAACCTTGGAAACAGAGAAGGTAACAGGTTTTACTTCAGTTCTTTTCTTCACCCCTTTTTTTTGTTTCAAGTAAGCGACGCAACTGACTTGTCTGTGCAGAAGGAGCGATACATTCAGATCAGTAAGGTTGATGAAGAGGAGAAGAAGAAGAGGGAACYGAAGAAGCTGGAGCGAGAGCAGGTGAGTTTAATGGGTTAAATCTTGTTGAACTTGTCAGATTGTATTAAAAGTGGGAATCTCTGGTTTTGTAATGTTTCATCCCGTCTTTTTTTTTTCTCCAACAGGAGGAGCTAAATGACGCTGTAGGCTTCTCCAGAGTCATCCATGCCATTTCCAAATCTGTGAGTCTTTTTCTTCAGTTCTAAGTATTGAATTTAAATAAATAAATAAATAAATTCAAATCAGTGAGCAGTTATCCAAAATCTAAACATTGTGGCTTTTCTGAGATGCTTGAATGGCTTCTCTTTTCTTCATTAGCGTGATATTTCATGGTGGTTTGTGTTTCTGACTCGCAGGGTAAACTTGTGGTGGGCCACAACATGCTTTTGGATGTGATGCACACAATTCACCAGTTTTACTGCCCTCTGCCTGAGGTATGACAAAGATGTTGTAAATCGTGTGAAAAGTTGAAGCAGTATATAGTGTTTAAGGTTTATTAATGSCAGTCCTCTTCTTTCCAGGATCTTCCAGACTTTAAAGAGGTTACCATGTGTGTTTTCCCAAGGTAATTCTGATGTTTGTGTTTTTGTTGCCACAACAAGTTTCTTCTAAGCTGTTTTGTTGTTGAACATGTTCATTTATTTACTTTCAGACTTTTAGACACAAAACTGATGGCCTCCACTCAGCCATTTAAGGTAAAACTTCCATTATACCAGGGGTGGGGAATTGTTTTTTTTTTCTTGTGGGCCACATGAGAATCTGGAGCTATGTTGYAGGGCTGAAACCAACAATATGTTGTACTTAATTCTGCTTAATAGACAGTAGTTTTATCATAGATTCACACAGTCTCCTGTAAATCTTATAGTCAGACTACGCTCATGCTTTGGTCCTGATGTGAACACTGGCATTGTGTTGTTGCTGTGCTTCAGAGATGCAGTCCGTCAGTCCTCCTCCTCAACAAAGTGTTGCTACTAGTTTAACTAGGGCTGCGCTGTATATGGATAGYCGGTAGAAACGKTYTGAKYTTGGCCTACGGTAGAAATTTACCCTCTACCATCCTGTCGTCAGTTACGTCATCYCACCTGCGAGTGCAGAGACAACTGAGCAGGAGGAGTTAGAAATATAATGAAGAAATATAGTGTTTTAAAACACGTATATAGAGAGAGAATACCTCAAAATTCCCCCCTCCCGCTGAAGAAAAGTTACATCGTGCTGTCGTGTTGTGGGATCATTTCCTCCCTCCCTCCCGCTGCACGTCGAGCAGAGCGAAGCTTTAACAACCGCAGTTTTTTCACACACAAGTTGTCGGAGAAAAAACTTGTTTTTAATATATTGTTACAGAGATGATAAGACGTTTGTTCAGTCATAAATCCATCTTGCTAATGTAACAGTTGTCTCTGCTCTGATGAAGATGAGAGCGCAGCAGCGAGTCAGTTCAACAGGCAGAAGCTCATTGTATGGCAGGCAGATGTTACATTTATTTGGCTTCACCACACTTATATTCCAGCTATCTGAAATTGTTTTATGATTAGGACTATGTGTTTAATTAATCCCCTTAAGGTCCTGTCACACTATAACATTTTAGTCAACTTATGACAACTTATAATTGTTTTATGTCTAAATGACTAATTCTACTTGAAGTTCTGGTTATAACATCCACTTTATTTTGATATTGTTGAAAATTTGAGAAATGTTTTTGTTGTTGAAACCGTTTTACAATACATATAAAACATTCTTTTGTACTTCTGTTATGTTCATTTGCACTACAACAAAAATGCTGGGTTTGGTTATGATTACAGTTTTCTGCAAAATAAATGCTCTTAAAAATTACATTATCTTTGCTTTTTATGATAATTTTCTACCTCGATATATATATACGGTTACTATGAAGGGATTCAATTTATACCATGATATGAAATTGTGGTCATACCGCCCAGCCGTCCGTTACACTTAAGAATGACATTAGAAGCCACTTGTTCAGATTAATACCTGAAGCTCTCTGTTCACATCAAGAATGTTTGACTTTAGTCCTAAATTTATCAAACATCTGGATGATGTTTGTTTCTTCTGCTTGTGCTGCAGGAGCTGATCACCAACACATCTCTGGCAGAGCTGGAGAAACAAGTGAAGGAGAGTCCCTTCAAGCCTCCACATGTTGGTTAGTGAAAAACTGTTTGTCCAAAATGCTWAACTTAAAACGAAGAGTTGACATCTTTTTTTTTTCTCTCATATTGTTCTTGTCAGAAACGGCAGAGGGGTTCCCCAGTTATGACACAGCCCAGGAGCAGCTCCATGAGGCTGGATATGACGCCTACATCACCGGTTTGTGTTTCACCTCCATGGCCAACCATCTGGGTAAGCCAGCTATGGTTCAGACAAACCTGAACCAGCTTCTTCTGTCATGTGAGCTGCGTTTTGAATTTTGAGAATGTGAGCAAACTAGTTTATTATAAATTTGATTGAACTTTATTTTGAAAACCTTCAAGTGTCACATAAGGTCAGCGTTAAAGCTGAAGGGGCAGCTTTTTTGTTATGGCTTAATCTATGAAATTGGACCAGTCTGTATTTTCAATTTAAAAACTGATTATTTGTTTACACTTAGTATTTTTCCTCTTGAAAGGTTCTTTCTTGACACCCCCAAAGCCTTTCATCTCTGCCCGGTCCAAACTAATTGAGCCTTTCTTCAACAAGTAAGACTGACGTAATTTACTACTCAGTTTAATTGCTTAAGATCATTTTAACAATTTATTTTATGTTCCACAGACTCTTCCTTATGAGGATAATTGATATACCCTACCTCAACATCACAGGACCAGATTGTGAGTAAAATAATGACACAAAATGTAACTTTTGTCTGTATTCTTTTGTTGTTTAGTGTCTAGCAAGAATTAAAAACAGAAAAGTTTCATTTGTCCAGCTCAGAGTATCGGGGAAAAGCTAGTCAAAAACTTAGATATTTGTATGATTTTTATGACAAAATAAATGAAAGAGTTGCAATAAGAGGTTTTAAATGAAAAATACTTGTGCCTCTTTTCAGTGCAACCCAAGAGAGACCACGTCCTGTATGTCACCTTCCCTAAAGAATGGAAGACTAGTGACCTCTACCAGCTCTTCAGTGCCTTTGGTAAGTTTTTATGGTGTGTGGTCATTTGACTGCAGACAAATGTCACTCACTGTCTGTGACGCTCTCATTCTGCGCTCTGCTCAGGTAACATCCAGGTGTCGTGGATAGATGACACGTCAGCTTTTGTGTCCCTCAGTCAGACAGACCAGGTGCAAATAGGTGAGTCTTGGATGCCAGTTATATACAAATGTCAGACTGTAGTGATGAATAAGTGTTGGATGCAGTTATTATATAATGCTTATTCAGGGTTCCTGCAGATCCTTAAAAAGTTTTAAAAGGCCTTGAATTCATCAGTCCAAAAATAAGGCCTTAATTAGCCTTAAAATGTCTTAAATCAATCTTCAGAAGTCTTAAAAATGTTAACACATTGTAAGTAGGATGACTGTAATTTGTATCAAATATTAAAATAATTGGTAACGTTTATTTAAATATCTGCATTCAGGTGTTCCCTTTTGACATCACTTCCTGTTATTTCACATGCAAATATCTCAACAACTGTCCGTCTGAGCAGTGTGAAATTTGTTTTCTAATATGTTAATAATGTTGTCATTTCAAAAATGTATTCATAATTCTTACAAAAATTTGATGTCACCGGCACTTTAAAGTTTCATCTATAGCAAGCTGGGGTTGAGACCCCACTGTGGGTTATAAAACTAAAAAATTTTGGGTCGTTAGAGGATTTCCAGAAATTAAATTAAATTAAATTTAAGACTGACTGCTAAGAAAGATTTTTTTTTTTGCTATATTTGACAAAAAAAAGCAGTCAGATATGGATAAAAACAATTGGTCTATTAGCAATATTTGAATAATTCAACCAAAAATACTTTGATTAATGAGTTTCTGCCACAGTTTTTTTTATTTTATTTTATTTTTTCATTTGTGTTTATTGTGAAATTGGTGTTAAATTTAATTTCACTTGGCATTAAAAAGTCTTAAATTTAACTTGCCTTAAACTGTAGGAACCCTGTTATTTCAACAGCTATGAACACCAGCCGCTATGCAGAAAGCTACAGGATCCAGACGTATGCAGAGTACATCCAGGGTAAACATCAGGAAAAGGACAAGCCTAGTCAGACTGCTAAATCCTGGGGTGAAGACGGCTGGGTGAAACCTCACTACTCCTCCTGTACATCTGCTGGGTTCGGGTACCCCAGGTAGGCCTTCACTGCTAAACAAGTACTCTTGCCCACATCACTTCTGTGTATTATTCTTGTGTTGCTTCTGCAGTCGTAGAAATATTCTTATTGTGTAGAAAAAAATTGTAACTTTTTAAATCCCACCCTTCTAGGAGGAAGCGCAGCATCAGCCCCATTCAAGGAGAGCAGGGAAGCGAAGAGGCTTCAGTCTTAGACTCCTGGAATAACTTCTCATTCCCAGACAGCACAGGAAAGAAGAAGATGAAATTTGATGGTGTGAAAGCATTCAGACCTTTCTAATTTCTGTTACGTAAAGATATTGAATCCTAAGCTTTCTGTTGCTTTTGTCTCCTAGATGCAAGTGAACAGGCAAATGTTGAAGCCATTGAGAGCAAAACATCAGAGGGGTGGCTAAAGATAACGTACGTATCACGATTTATGCTGGTGTTGTACCGATGGCTGCGTTTGAACGTGTTTGTAATTGCTGCCATTTTCTGCAGGGATGCGTCGTGTTCAGCTGAGTCGAGCCCAGCCACAAACAAGGAAAGTCCTGAAAGCACAGAACCAGGCAGCCGTGCCGACGGGACAAGCACCTGGGAACAAACCCCAACGGTTCCAACAAAGAAAGGTCAAAAGAACAAGAAAAAGAAGTCTGATGGTGTGTTTTATCACTGCAGTGATTTATTCTTCTTCACTGAACATCACGTCATTAACAGAGAGGGCATTAAGAATATAAGTGTCTGGGCACAAAAAAAAAGGAAATTTGTGTTTGATAGGTTATTTCTTTGGTTTTAACAATGCTTGGCAATAAATCTTATACCAGACACCTGAGTGGCAGCACAGCACGGCAAGTTAACAGGCTTTCCAACAATATAACATTTGTGGCCAAAAAGCATTGTTGCAAAAAAGAAATAATCTACCAAACACAAATTTTCTAACTTGTTGCGCTAAGTTTGTTTAATGCATGTTTTTTGACTAATAACCATGTCTGCTTTTTTGGCAAGCAGTAAAGTTTAAACTGCAGCTGCTGCATCCAGCTCACTGTTAAGCTCTTTTTAAGTGATGATTCTCATTTATACATATTTAAGTTTTTTTTTTTGTTTTGTTTTGTTTTTTTTTTTTTTTTTTTTTTTTTTTTTTTTTTTTTTTTGTTTTGTTTTTTTTTTGTTCAGTCAATGCTTATTTTAGTAAAGCAGTTATATTTTGTCATGTAGGGAGAAAACATCACCATCTTCTACCCCAGAAAAGTCAACCTCTAGACCAGGGATAATCGATTCCAGTCCTCGAGGTCCGCAGCCCTGCATGTTTTACTTTTTTTTCCACTTCTCTAACACCTGATTCAGTCAGTGAATAACCTCTTCCAAGTTCTGCAGAAGCCTGAAAATCATCCATTCATTCAAATCAGGTGTGTTGGAGAAGAGAAATAATTAAAAATAATTAAAACTGGCAGGACTGTGGACCTCGAGGACAGTAATTTCTATCCCTGCTCTTTATTTATATATATATATATATACATATATTTCGCTTCATTAGAAAAAACAACTTAATATATTAGTTTCTTCATCATCAGTGACTTTTTTTTTTCTTTTTGCTCTAGGCCAAATTATCCATCAGTCAAATTACAGCACTAGTGTTGGAAACTGTCATTAGGAACTACGTTTAATGGTTACATCTTTAATTTGTTGCTAGTTTTGTTTGAGTCCTAAATGTTTCTTCCTCTTTCCCCAGCAGCTGAATCGAAAACCTCATTGTTTGAAGTCCCAGAAGTTTGGTAGCGAGAGGTGAGGAGCAGCGAAGCCTCGGTCTGACCCTGGGCTCCTGCTCTCCTCCTAAGCACTCGGAGCACTCTCCCTCTTTAGGGTCGCACGGCGCTGAGAGAGCTTCACGCCCCCAATTCACTCGTTCACTCACCGCTGTGGACACAATGTCAGAAACTACCAGCCAAGCTCAACTGTTAACAGAGAACACAAGCCATAACAGCTGCCATATTTTGATCCGGTACCAGAGGAGCAGGCCCCTCCTCTGGGTTAACATCTACATAAATATCACTGTAGATCTCAATTATAAGATACAGAGTTTTTCATTTCTTCATCATGTTCAAACTGGAATCTGCCACCACAACCATGCAGTCACTTTGAATTCACTCWAATTTTAATGATAGGCGTCTGTAATCAGTTATGTAATGTGAGTGTGAGTTGTGTGTGTACGTTTGTGCCTGTGAGAGGAAATGTAGTTTTTTTTTTGTTTTTTTTTTCCTAGTGTTTGTATCCCTGTAAGTTTTCATAAAACAAGATAAAACGCCACAGATCCCGTACTGTAAAATGTCAGGGTTATTAAAATATTTTTATTGATGTTTAATTTTTTTGGATCCTTTTTAAGAAGATTATGTTGTCAACACCTCCAGTTTTATCAAGACACTTGTGTGCTTATCGATGATAATGTGACATTTATTGTTAAAAGGCATTTTCACCCTTTCTGAGAGGTGCTTATTTGTTTTTCTTTTGTTTTGTACAGATTTTCCTTCCTTTCTGTGTTTTGATGTTTTTGTATTTGTGTCCACCTGCGAAAATGTCAAATTCTGGAATGCAAAATTACTTTTTTTTTGTATAAGTTTAAAAATCCTTAAAGATTTCCTTTTTAAAGGGGAGAAATTAAAGAAATGTTTCTTAGTAAGTTTTTGTGGCTATTTATTTTCTTAAATTGCTGTATTGTTTTGTAACATGCAGTCCTCTTCCTGATGCAGTTCTGGTAAAACCAGATTCTGCTGAATGTTTTTCTTCATTTGGTTGTGTCCTCTTCAGGGTTCATCACAGCAAGTCATCCTCCTCCATCACCCTGTTCTGTTCTCGCTACACCTTCATGTCGTCTGCGTCCATAAATCTCCTTTTTGTCATTTCCTGGCAGCTGCATCTCTTGGAACATTTTGTTTCAATCCAAAAAAAAAAAAAAATCTTAGGCCCCTTAGGCAGGTGACTTGTATAACAAACTAAAAATCTGTTTTTTTTTAAACAATTTTCACCCCAATTTATTAAAAATGTCCATTGTACTTCAAAAGCTGGATTATTCCTGGAAATTATAATGTAGGTCTGAACTGCACATAGTTTTTAATTCAAGGATTCAAAGTGTTTACATGTTTCCCTGTGAAATTTGCCATCCACAGTGAATGCCAAGAGACAACCAGATGAAAAAAGTACACTTAAAGGATACTAAAAGTAATAAGAGATAGGATAACAGACCACACTTAAAAAAGACCAAACTAAAAAGAATAATGTCAAGAAACGGAAACACACTATCAGTGGTAGTGTTCATAGTGTACAGGTGCTGGTCATAAAATTAGAATATCATGAAAAAGTAGATTTATTTCAGTAATTCCATTTAAAAAGTGAAACTTGTATATTATATTCATACATTACATACAAACTCATATAATTCAAATGTTTATTTCGTTTAATTTTGATGATTACAAATGACAACAAATGAAAATCTCAAATTCAGCATATCAGAAAATTAGAATATTACTGAAGACCAATAAAAACAAAGGATTTATAGAAATGTTGGCCAACTGAAAAGTATGAACATGAAAAGTATGAGCATGTACAGCACTCGGTATTTAGTTGGGGCTCCTTTGGCCTGTATTACTGCAGCAATGRGGCGTGGCATGGAGTCGATCAGTCTGTGGCACTGCTCAGGTGTTATGATAGCCCAGGTTGCTCTAATAGTGGCTTTTAGCTCTTCTGAATTGTTGGGTCTGGTGTATTGCATCTTCTTCACAATACCCCATAGATTTTCTATGGGGTTAAGGTCAGGAGAGTTTGCTGGCCAATTAAGAACAGGGATACCATGGTCCTTCAACCAGGTACTGGTAGCTTTGGCACTGTGAGCAGGTGCCAAGTCCTGTTGGAAAATGAAATCTGCATCTCCAAAAAGTTGGTCAGCAGCAGGAAGCATGAAGTGCTCTAAAACTTCCTGGTATGTGGCTGCGTTGACCCTGGACCTCAGAAAACACAATGGACCAACACCAGCAGATGACATGGCACCCCAAACCATCACTGACTGTGGAAACTTTACACTGGACTTCAAGCAACGTGGATGAAGTGCCTCTCTTCTTTTCCTCCAGACTCTGGGACCTTGATTTCCAAAGGAAATGCAAAATTTACTTTCATCAGAGAACATGACTTTGGACCACTCACCAGCAGTCCAGTCCTGTTTCTCTGTAGCCCAGGCAAGACGCTTCTGATGCTGTCTGTGGTTCAAGAGTGGCTTGACACAAGGAATGCGACAGCAGAAACCCATGTCTTTCATACGTCTGTGTGTGGTGGTTCTTGAAGCACTCACTCCAGCTGCAGTCCACTCTTTGTGAATCTCCCCCACATTTTTGAATGGGTTTTGTTTCACAATCCTCTCCAGGGTGCGGTTATCTCTCTTGCTTGTACATTTTTTTCAACCACATCTTTTCCTTCCCTTCGCCTCTCTATTAATGTGCTTGGACACAGAGCTCTGTGAACAGCCAGCCTCTTTAGCGATGACCTTTTGTGTCTTGCCCTCCTTGTGCAAGGTGTCGATGGTCGTCTTTTGGACAACTGTCAAGTCAGCAGTCTTCCCCATGATTGTGTAGCCTATAGAACTAGACTGAAAGACCATTTAAAGGCCTTTGCAGGTGGTTTGAGTTAATTAGCTGATTASAGTGTGGTACCAGGTGCCATTCATTTTGAACCTTTTCACAAGATTCTAATTTTCTGATATGCTGAATTTGAGATTTTCATTTGTTGTCATTTATAATCATCAAAATTAAACGAAATAAACATTTGAAATATATGAGTTTGTATGTAATGTATGAATATAATATACAAGTTTCACTTTTTAAATGGAATTACTGAAATAAATCTACTTTTTCATGATATTCTAATTTTATGACCAGCACCTGTATGTGCAATATTAATAGACTCACATTCAGCTGTTCAGAAGTCTGATGGCACTTGGGGGGAAAATGAGGTCTTAAATCTGGAGGTTCTGCATTTCACACTTGTGTAGAGGTGTGACTAGTCCATGCTGGGGGGTGAGTTGGGTCTTTAATGATTGAGGCTGCTCTCCTGTGGACTCTGCAGTGGAAGATGCTCTGCAGAGAGGGTTAGAGGAGTCCCTGTGATCTCTGCATGTGTTGACCTGACACAAAAATGCATTGTGTAATATTTAAATGTATTTATTTTTTAATTCTTTTCTCTTAGTTCCTGAGTATAGGGTGAGTCAGAAATCTCAAAACACCCATTTAAGAAACGTAAGAGAAAAGAAAATATCAGAATATCCCCAGCAATAGGTGAAGGCACCGATCTTTTGGATTATGTCCAGAACATACTAGCCATAGAATCGGTCAAATTTTTCCAACGTGAAGAGGGTCATGTAGTATATCAAAGACCAGAATGGTCTCAGAAATGAAGTGCCACAATCAGATTTACAATGTGTTGTGGTTCAGAACACTAAGTTAAAGATGTTTATATGGAAATGACAGAAGCTCTGTGTTCAGAATCAGGGACTGCACATTACATCATACAGCATCACAGACAACATTCCCTGTTTCTGCAGCGTTTTATGAAAACTTCTGAACCACAATAGATATTGCACATCTGATTACTGTAATCTTGTGATGGACTTGCGACCTGTCCAGGGTGTACCCCGCCCCTCGCACTGTGACTGCTGGATATGGGCACCAGTGACCCAGGCGACCCTGAAAAGGAAGAAGCGTGTACAGAAAATGGATGGATGGATGGATGATTACTGTAATCCATTTCTTCGACAATGCTGGTTTTCTTTGATAGGCTACATGACTCACTTCAAATATGATAATTTGACTTTGATTCAAGYTGATAGCCATACTCCTGACATTAGCCTAAAAGATAGGTCCTTTCACCCATTAGCTACACAATAGGGTATTCAGATATTTCATCATTTGCCTTTTCGTTTCAGAAATAAAGGGTGTCCTGAAACTTTTGACTCACACTGTGTTTTGAGGTGAGAACAATGTTCTGTTCTTTCAGTGGGTTTCTTTATGGATTTCGCTTTAAATGACTCAAACATTGTAGACAGTGATACTTCATCGGTTTATTTTAAACTTTCACAGGATTGGTTTTTGACTGTAACTAGGCACAACCCAGGATGGTCACCGCTCGTGCTGCAGTAGAAAACAGAGGAAAAACGTTGAGAAAATATTTAACTTTAGGCAAATCCAACCCGGAGACGCTGTAAGGGTTTTTTACCTGGTCTGTCCGAGCAGAACCACCACAGACAGGGTGCCATCAGGAAGGGATTTGAAGACTTTTCTTAACCGGATATCCAGTTTCTTCATCGTGCGAATTGTTTTTTGATCCTACACATAGTTAAAAATAACGATAAATAAACAATGCAAATTGGAAACTTCATAATGTGCTTAAGTTAATAAATATTTATAACAAACAAAATACGAAACATTGATTTTGTTAACTGCATTAGAATATCGAGTTGTCGTTTTTATAAAAAAAAATAAGTAAAAAAACACAGAACTTGGAAAAAACTAAGCGAGAATTCCCTGAGAAAAATCCCAATACATCAAGAGTTAAAAGAATAGTTGAGGTCTATTTTTACAGGTTACACTCAATATCTTACCTGTTGTAGATGGCTTTTGGAACATCAGTTTGGAGAAACAGAGTTTAATTCTGACTGGACTAACAAGCTAATGGCCTTTCTGACTTTGCTCTTGATCACACTAGGACTAGCCTTTAGCTCATCAACTTGGTGGGACTTCAACTGTTTCTCCAAACCGAGGTTCATGAAGGAGCTATTTACAACAGGTAAGATACTAACCGTTCTTAAGCTTTCCACAGAACCCAACTTCAAAACATCTGAACTTGCACTTCAGACAGCAGCTGCTGCTTCGTGCTCTTTCCTGTTGTGTGAAACAAAGTCTAAAATATTCACATCAAAATCAACTCAAACCAATAAAAAAAAGGTCTGCAGTGAGTCAAAGCATCATGGTCCAGGTTTCATCATAAGAATCTCTCTGTACCTGAGAACCGATGTCCYTGTAGGCTGTTCTTAGCTGCTCAGCGCACTTTTCATCTGTGTTTGCGGTTTTCTTATCTGTTGCCAGAGTAGCCCACGAAAGTAGGTGGGGCGGAGTCACGGATGGGCAAATGAGAAAACGGTCCTTCAGCAGGTCCTCGGAGGAGCTGAGAGCTGCGTGTTTGGCCTCTGATCTCTTAAACTCTGTCAATCAGACATATTGGAGTTACAGCTACACCCAACATTTACCTCTGCACCGACGGAGGAGAAAAAAATCACGACTTAGCTTCCACTCACTTATACAGATATGTTTTTTTGGTTTGGCAGGCAGGATGATGCTCTGTACGGTTCCAAAGTGGCTAAATGTCTCTCTGACTGTCTCCTCAGACAGTTCAGACGAGGCAGGGAGATCCAACGCTTCACCGTTTAGTTTAGCAGATCGGAGCTTGTGTACCATTTTATCACAAGAGACACCAGCACATTGTGCATCCAGCATTAATCCGTTAGTCTTTGGTGAAATGGTTAAACGCTGAGCTGCACGTCGACTCAGCTTAACAGCATAAAGGTTGTACGTGTTAAGTGTTTCACTCATTAAAGCCTCCAGATTCAGATCCAGGTCCAACACTGATCCATGCACGGGCCTTTGCACCTGGAAAAGAAGAAACATTGAAGGTTTGAGCATAATTGTGACGTAAAGAGGAAAAAAAGAAATGGAGAAAATGGCTACCTTGATGGGCCGGCCATGGACACTGAGTCTGTCCAGAACTTTTAATGCTAGCATTGCTCCTTCAAGCATCTCAAACTCTACTTCTGCGTGGACCTAGAAGCAAGACATTGTGGGAAATAAATAAATAAATAAATAAATAAATAAATAAATAAATAYATAAATAAATAAATAAATAAATAAACAAAAACAGTGAAAATCAGGGTTCCCACACCTTGGTCAACATCCAATGCAAGCACCTTTCAAGAACTTTCCAGTACCAATTTCCTCAAATTCAAGAACCACGCGTGACGGCAATTACCTACTGCTACCACATAATGTTACCAATAAAAACAGTTTTAATCATGTAAATTCAATTAAAAACTGAACATAGAAGTTGTTGAGTCAGAATCAATGAAATAAAGTGGATTAWATGTACAGCCTTCATTCATATCTACAATACATGGACATGTAATTATGTCCTGGGAGATTCAGRAGCTCACTTTGGGAGAAGGGGTTGTGAACAAGTCCAGACCCTCGGTGAGGACAGGAGGAGCTGTGGTGCTCTTACCTGGGCTCAGAAAGAACGACCCGCCCTGCTCTGCTCTGATTGGTTAAAACTATGACTATGGGTCACGCTATTTGTTGAAAGCCACGTCAGTTTACAGTAATCCTGAGTTATCCACCACAACATATCAATGTTTTTTATTATTTTTTTTTTCTTACAGATGATGAAAATCAGTTGTGTTAATAAAGAACTTCAACCCCCCGCCCAAAAAAAAAAAAAAAAAAAAAAAAAAAACATTCAAGAACTTTCAAGGGCAAATGCAATTTTGGCTGTTTTCACAAACTTTCCAGGGCCTTGAAATAATTTTTCCAAATTCACAAACTTTCAAGGATTTCAAGGACCCACGGGAACCCTGGAAAATGAGTACTAAATACCAGAGTTTAAACTAAATAAGTACAAATACTTCTTTACTGTACTTTAGTAGAATTTTTGGGTATCTGTACTTTACTTGAGTAATTATTTTCCAGCCTACTTTTTACTTCCACTTCTTACATTTTCACACAATTATCTGTACTTTCTACTCCTTACATTTTTTTTAAAAGGCAAGAAGTATAAAGTCGTTACTTTTACTTCATTTTTGCTTGTTTTCATTCCAACTTGTTATTGTAAAAAATAAATACTATCCACATAAATTGTGCCTCCTACTGTAGTTGAATGGGAAGTATAAATATTTAAAATTATGATACTGTATTAGTTTGTACACAAACAAATCATGTCACACTCCAGCAGGACATATTCATTAAAATAAAAGGACTGTACTTGAGAAGTACTTGTATTTCATGAATTATATTATTGTATTTGGCTGCAGCCCTCAGATAGATTTTCATTTTGGGGAAAAGCTTTGTGCAGCCTTAATACAGTATATGTATATAAACTGAAACAGTTGGACTAGTGCATCATAAATTTAACATAAATTAATTACTTTAATACAATATAGTCATTTCTGCATTTTTTTGGTGGGGAGGTCACCTTCTAATAAAAGTCATTACAGAAAATCTAACTGCTCATTTTAAATCAATACTTTTAATTTTAATATTTAAGTACAAATGATAACAGATACTTTAAGACTTTTACTCAAGTAATATTCCTAAAGGAGATTTTAACTTTTACCAAAGTAATTTTTTGGTAAGATACTTGTACTTTTACTCAAGTATAACTTTGTGGTACTTTGTACAACACTGCTAAATACCATTGTATATGAAAAAGCTGTAAATATGTTAAGTGAGACCCACTCGGACACCTGTGTTCAACATTTGGACTTGTCGAACTCGTCCGCAGCTTCGAAACAGGCGCTTTGCTTCTTTCTCAGAGAAACTCGAGGGGAAAGGCCCAGCAAACACAACGCACATATCCCGAAGACCAGCACACACCTGCAGGATAAATACAGCATGTTGTACATCATACACACCTCTTGCAAAATAAATAAATAAAAAAATAAAAGAAAGAAAGCCCAATAAATGACTCACATTCTGGTACAACTGCTCCTGATGAGTGACGCGACGTCTCAGATGGTGCGAGAAAGAGGAAAGCTGGAGGACGGAGAGGAATCGGCACTTCGTCTGTCTCCTGAATGATAACACCATCTGCAGAGGAGAGGATGCCGCGTCAGAAATCGAGGAGACATGGTGGGAGACTTCAGGCGAACATATCYAAGAAACAAAAGGAAGGAAACAAAGTGTGCAAAAATTGTGTTTCTAGAACGCAGAGGCATGAGTGCTGACATCATTTTATCTAAGACACCTCTTTGTCCGAGCTGAACCACTGCTGATTGGACAGGTTCAACGCAACGTCCGCACGATTTCCTAGAAAGGCCACAGACCGACCAAGTGCCTGCAGGATGTCAGCAAACCTGCAGAAGAAGACAGTTAAAATGATCTCCAGCACACTGCACAATTTCAATAAAATCCAAACAGTGGTTTATGAGATATTTTGCTAACACTACAGACACACTGGCAGAATCATTATCACCATCAGGCAATAAAAAGAGAACGATTCAGGAGGAGGAGCATCCCTTTTTGAATGAAGGCAGAAGTTCTGATCAAAGGGATAAGGCTTTTATTTCCCAGTTAGCAAAAGATGTTAATTTGAGTGTAGTGATGGCCTAAAAAAGAATCTATCAGACAGCTGCAGCTGATCCAGAACGCTGCTGCTCGTGTTTTGACTAAAACCAGGAAGATAGAGCACATCAGCCCAGTTCTAAAGTCCTTACACTGGCTCTGTGTAACTCAGAGAATAGACTTTAAAATGCTGATATTAGTTTATAAATCACTTAATGGCTTAGTACCACAAAACATCAAAGATATGCTGCTGTTATGTCAGCCTTCCAGACCTCTCAGGTCTTCTGGTTCTGGTCTGCTCTGCATCCCCAAAACCAGAACCAAACATGGAGAAGCAGCATTCAGCTTCTATGCACCACAGATCTGGAACAAACTCCCAGAAATTTGTAAAACAGCCGAAACTCTGAGTTCCTTTAAATCAAGACGGAAAACCCACCTGTTGAGAGTTGTTTTTGAAACATTATAAATGAAACAATAATCAACATTTTGATGTGTAACAATGACACCTGACAAACTGTAATGTTTCAATTGTTAACTGTGTTCTATGATGGTATTTTTTGCATTTTATGACGTAAAGCACTCTATACTGCCTTGTTGCTGAAATGTGCTACGATTGATTGATTGATTGATTGATTGATTGATTGATTGATTGATTGATTGATTGATTGATTGATTGATTGATTGATTGATTGATTGATTGATTGATTGAATGAATGTTGAAATACGGTCAAAGAAGTTGATTTTGGGTTAAGGTCGACAATTGAGGGTGAATCAACCATCAAACAATCATCCAATTCTAACCAAATAATCTATGTTGAAAAGATGTTATTGAATTAGTGTTGTTTCAGTGTTGAATTATAATAATTGAAATGCCAACGTCTAATCAATGTTGAATCAACATTGATATAGTATCAGTTATGTTTGAAAACCTAACATTATTTCATCAAGTAAATCACTTTTTGTATCATTTCAACKTGGATGAATATTGATGCCTAACCATATTTCAATGTTGACTCACTCATATTTTGCTGTCTGGGTTGTTAGCTACTTTGACTCTAAAACAGTAAGAAAAGCAGAGCTGCACTTTATTTCTGGACCCGTGTGTGCTGCTTGTTCTGTAGAATCAGAACTTCCTCTCCCACCTGTGACTTGTGACCTCAGAGGACTCCTCCTCCAGATTGTATCCCCACAGCTCCTCCAGATGAAGCTCCACAACCTGACAGTCAGTAAACAGAAAATGTTTGCTTATTCTCTGTGTGTTTGTTCGTTTTAAAAAAGTCTGTTTCCTACCTGACGTGGTCCAGTTTTGATAAAGTACTGAGCCAGCTCCAGAGCGGCCACAGCGTCCTCGGTGGGGTTGTGACCGATCCTCTCTTCGGTTTGGATTTGCCTCCTGAGAAGTGAGTGGGGAGATTAAATCATTTTGTGTGAGAGACTCTAAGGGGAAGAAAGCAAAGAAGAACTCACTTCAGAACTATGTCAGCCAAAACCTTGAGTTTAAACCTCTGCCCAAAATGTCTCCTGTACAGCAGAGACGTATCAACTACATGACGGTGGATGAGCTGGAGAGGAAAAAAAGAACACAAAAGAAGCAAAGATTTTAACTTGTGAACAATTTTTGTGCTCACACAACTTGTATTCCTGTTTACAACTTAGAATTGAGCTTTTTCTGATCCTGTGGACAGAATCAGATAAATTTAATTAAATTTAACTTAACCCAATATTTAAACTTATAAACAGTTTACTGACTTGCAGTGCGATGAGGTCACAGTTGAGCGAATGGCCCACCAGAACTGCATCACCTGGTAACAGCATCATGAGCTGTGTTTGAACATCCTTCAGGGTGGTTGTGATTGGTTGCAGCATGGCTGCAGTGACACCTGAGAACCTATAAGAAGTTAACAAGATGAACAGGACATGTTTCACTTTTAGGTATTATAAATAAACAGCGTATCACTTTAACCGCTAATAATGCCCATTTAATGGACTGACAACATTTGATTAGATGCAGGTGCACCAGGAAATCGTTTCAGTCCATATAACCAATAGGGACAGGTCTTACAGTAGTTCCTCCTTAGGCCCCGCCCCGGATGTTCATGTTCTCTGAGCTCAAAACTTTTTAGAGTTCAACCAAAAACTTAGAGCATCAACCAAAAGTCTGAGATTCAACTAAAGATTTCTGACATGCAAAAAAAAGTTTGTTTTGCACAAAACTTTTTGATTTAATTTTTTTATGCTTTTTTGTTTGGTTGAATTTCTTTTTTCTTTTTTTTTTTTTGGTTGAAATTATTTTTTGTTTGATTGAATAATAAAAAAACAAAATTACCTTCATACCAAATGAGAGAAAAAATATTAAACTAATTAAATTACTCTAAATTACACTGAAAAAACATATTTGACCTACTTAGAAAACGTACATATGCCACTATGATTACAGCATCTAACAAAATGTTAAAGATCCAACAGTCTGTGAAGATCCTTTGACTGCATGTGCGCGTGCAGTGAGTGTGTGCTTACTTGGTAAGGTAGTCAAGAACACGCCTTTGAGGTTTCACCAGTTCATCCAACACACAGTTTCCATCCCCATCCACCAGAGAAACACGAGTCAACTCATATCCTTTTTCTGTTACACACTGAAAACAGAGAGAAACAAATCGACACGAGCTAAAAATACCCAAGTATACAGAGCAAAGCAAAGGACTGAAGCACAGGAAATCATGCAATTTAATGTGTGATGGCTGATTCAGCATTTTGCTACACTTAGCTTTTAGCATATGTTTTGTAACGTTTTGATAATGTTACGCAAATTTTAACTTTTAGATGAGGTTTTGTTTGTTTTAGTGTCAATTTTGCTAATTTAAGCTTTTATCTATGGTTTTGCCAAGCTTACGTTTTTCTAAGGTTTTGCTAAGTTTAGCTTTTAGCTATAGTTTTGCTTGTTTAGTTTTTAGTAACAGGTTTGATCATTAAGGCTGAAATGTTGCTACATTATTTAGCTTTTAACTATTGTTAGCCAAGTAACTAAGTCAGTTTTTATTTTTAGTTAGTAGTTTGTTACCTTAGGCTACGGTTGTGCTCTTTTTAACTTTTATATGTTGTTTTGCTTTTAGATCTGGCTTACATTTGGCTATATTAGTTTTTAGATGTGGTTATTAGTTTTCAGCTACAGATTTGTTGTCTTTAGCTTATGTTCTATTTTTCAGACTAACAATTCAGGTAAAATTTTATTATTCAATAAATAGTTGCAATGTGGGATTTTTAGAAGTCTTCCAGTCATTAATGAAACCGAGACAATTTAAAAAGGTGATTTCAAAAATATGCAATGGAATTCAACACTCAAAACAAGGAAATACGGACTACATTATAAAGAAGTGGGAGACTGAACTAAACAAACTGATTCCAACTGAAACCTGGGAAAACATATGCCAACGTCAGTGGACTTTCACAGCATCAAATGCGTGGCGAGAGTTCTGTTGGAAAAACACTGTGAGGTTTTTCATCACACCGATTCAGAAGAGACATTTGGGAGGTGGAGATCACTGCTGGAGACAGTGTGGGACTAAGGGAGCCACATACGAACACATCTTTTGGGGGTGCCAGGTTATTAGACGTTTTTGGGAGGAAATCCACAATCATGTGGAAAATGTTTTTGGAATTAAAATCCCTTTCACATGTACTAATGTGTATATGGGTGATGTACAACAAAAAGTGAATAGAAATGATAAAAAAATTGCTTGGTATACTTATGGCAGCCAGTAAAAAAGCTATCACGAGAAAATGGCTGAAAGTGGAACCACCCACCATTGAAGAATGGATTGCTATTGTGCATGAAATTTATATAATGGAAAAGATCACATTCTCTCTCATAATTCAAAACGATAAATTCTACAGTATTTGGTCAAAATGGTCTGAGTATGTAAAGCCTGTAAGGTCCGACTTTGAATAAGTCCACTTGTCCCCACCTACACACTACCTTTATTGTAAGATACAACACAGTGTTTACACCAAGGTATCTTAATGCTAAGTAAGCCTCCAACCGCTATAAATGTTTTGTTTTGATTCATGTTATTTTCATTTGCTGTAAATAGTTGTATGCTTTTGAACTGTATCCACCAACAAAAGAAATAAAAAGAAAATTACAAAAAAATAATTATTATTCAATAAGTGTCAGCAGAATCATTCAGCACTCAGCATTTTACCAGAAAATAATTATTCTCCATCATAAAACTTGCTATCATAAAACAAGCTTTAGTCCTGTGTGTTGGTTTGAATTATTTGTAAAGCTGGAGATTAGATAAAGTTTTACACAGTGCGGCACGGGTGAGTTTCAACCACTTCAACTGTAAACAAAAACAAGTTCAAAGGTGTGTAAAAAACTAAAACAAAAGTTGCTGCTTCTAATTTTAAGACAAACTGTAATAACAGGAAACTTTGGGCAAAGAGCAGGAGATTTGTGCAAAACAGGCTTAAATCAACACCTTTTTGTAATGTCCGACATCATAAATGACATGTTTCACAAATTAAAATACTGCTTGTTATATAAAAACGGTTACGGTATATTAACACAAGAAAAATTACAAGTCGTCCAGTAAGTGAAGTCATCTCACCATTTCACAGTCCAGTCCATATAAAGGGCTGTCATCCGTGACACAAACGTCATTCTTTGTGCACCTGAAGTCCTCAAAGCCTGGCATACCTGAGTCAAATAAAACGAAAATCCATATCCATGTTCAGCGATCAAAATCTGAAAACACATTTTGTTCGACGGGATGGATAGATCTAAACACCTTTTAGCATTTTTAACAAAACAATGCCGTGGATGCAGAGTTTGTATTATTGTGACAGAAAAATATATTCTAGACATGTTGCTTCTACATTCAGATCAGGTTTTCTTATTGTGGTCTTATAACAAAGCATCCCTTATCTGTAATAACACTTCGTAAGTTTTTTGGCAATGTCAGTTGCAAAACAATTTCACACAGTTTGATAAAACATGAACGGCAGCACATTAATTACAGGAACTAAACATTACTTTTACGTTCTAAGAKAAATACTAAACAAAAAACATTCCTCACCTTTGACAGGGAAGCGGTTCTTAATCATTTCTTCTGTGGTGAGGATGTACTTGGATAATCCTCTCCCGTGTGTCCCATATGTTGTGATAACTGGGTGGTGTTTCAGAGCTGCAGCGGTGCACAATAACACACAAGTCAAAAGCTAACTCGCAAAAAGAAACCACAAAAACACATGGGATAAATCAAGGTTTTTAACCTAGGCCTTGCAGTTGTGATAAGTATTCAGGTGACAAATGCAGACAAAATATATTTATTTTATTGCCCAAAAAAGTAACTTAAAAAGTGATGAGTGTTTCAGTGTGTCTCATCCACATCTCACCTTTCTGCAGGTTTTGTTCCTGTTTGGAAACAGATAAAATGTCCACTTTAGGAACCTCGCTGCTGAAGATTTCCGATGCTARGTTGTTAGATGACGGAGTGAAGGTGATCCTCTGTTAGAATCAGATTTCACAATGTAAAACACTGTTTTTCTCTTCATAAAACTTGTGCTTGTATACTCCCTCAGACTACTTACTGTGGTATAGTTGGTCCTGAGGTGCTCCACGGTGAGGTAGTTCCTGTAGAAGTGACTCTGTGTCAGGCCATCCACAAGCACCACATTCAAACTTTTGACCTTTTTCTGACAGTGAAGTCGGCACCAGCTGGCAGAGGGATGACGACACGGACAGAGAGTTTAAACGTTGGCCAGAAACCACACGGATTTAGTTTGACTCAAACCGGGATCGACGCCTGTCATTACCTGGGCTGTTTGAGGCCTCCCGCTTTCCCCAGAGCAGCAAAATGCAACAGCTCTGTCAGCTCGCTCAATGTGATTGGTTGCTGCAAGCGCTGGAGCTGTATGGAGACCCTGGGTGAAGCAGAGGGTCTCTCCTTCACTGCCTCGTCAGCTTCCTGCTCAGTCTTTGCTCTTTTGAATCTCCTGTGTTCTGAGGAGTCTTTCCTCTTTTTGCTCTTCCTGCTGCACATCTCTGCTACAGAAGACGCCATGTTTCCGGTGAAGTTTCTTCTGTGGAGCAAAACATTTTAAGGGAATTATTGTTACATTTTAAAAGCAAACATGCTGTGTATCAGGCCACTATGACTATTGACTGTTTATAACAATGTGACAGAAAATTATCAAAAATTAGGTAGTGTCAGGTATAATTTTATAAAGGTATAAAGTTATGTTGCTGATAATAACTAGCTTAAAATAGGTACCTGAAAGCAAAGTATAACCGCAGCCACAGATACAGTTCATAATGCATGAACCAAATACAATATTCTAAATACACCACCTAATAATAGCAAATATCTTAAATTAATTAAATGTTCTAAGATTTACAGAGGATCTAAAACTTAGTAGATCTAAAGTTGTTGGGATATTCTGGAGTAACCTAAAGCTTACTTTCACAAAGTCCTATAGCCACATTTATAACTTCGGACAGTTACATACACATACAAATTCAACTCAAATCACTTTATTAATCCCAAAGGGAAATTAAATAATTCTGAGAGTAGAATACCACTTTTATGGGTCCAAATGAGTTCACCCGCTTCCACCCTAGCGTGTTTTTAACAGGATACATCACTTCAAGGCATGCTTTGCGATTTATGAAAATACATTAGCAGTACTTCCGTTTAGTAGCTTAAAAATAAAACTTACATGTACATGACTTGAGTAGAAAATGTGTACATTTTAAGAAAATCCTTCAATATATATATTTTTAATGTCTCTTGTTAAATAATACGAGCATTTTGTATGATTTTTTTTTAGTTATAGTGGTAAAAACAAAGTTCAACAAAACACTTTGTGCTTTTACTTTGAAGGATAAATTCAAAACCGGAAATAAGACATATGCATCGATAAATTGCGTTCGACCCGACAGACTTGCAGGGCTGACTAATCGAGCTCAAATTTTAACATTTGCATTTAAAAAAAGAGCGCTAGCTTTCGGGTTTAGGTTTTTCGACAAAGCACTTGGTATTTCAACAGTTTTCTGTCGAAACAGAAGCAACATTTCATCCTGTTTTAGGTCGGTTAGCAGACGACATGGCCACGAAAAACCTGGCGAAGTAAGTAAATTAATGCAGAGCACAAGCAGATGCTTCCAGATATTTTGTTTATTCTTGGAATCACGAGTTATTGATACAGCAAATATTAATGTAGTGTATTGTAAGTGTTTTTACTGAAAGGTTAATTAATTACAAATAACATGTTGGGTTTCTGAAACCAGATGTAATTCTTTATTATTTAACTCAACAGGAAATTGGGATTACTGAGGCAGCGAAGCCAGAACTCATCAAAGAAATCAGTGATATCAAGTGGGTTAGATAAATTCAAGTTTAATTTCCCAACAACASCAGTATTTCCATAAGAAAGCTAAAGTAAATCCTGTTATTCTTTCAGATCAGATATTTTCATACTTGATTGTGATCGACTTTGAGTCCACTTGCTGGAGAGAAAAAAATCACTACAGCCAGGAAATAAGTAAGTACCATCATTACTTAGAGTTCAGATTTCATCATCTGYTTTTTCCAGCTATATGATAAACTTGTGTTTTTTTCTCTTCTCCTCACTGTAGTTGAGTTTCCAGCTGTTGTTTTGAACACGTCCACAGGAGAGGTTGAGTCTGAGTTTCATACCTATGTTCAGCCTCAGGAACACCCCATCCTGTCTGAGTTCTGCACTGAGCTGACAGGAATCACACAGGTTTCTGCTCTAGGACAAAAACTGTTGCATTTCAGGGACAAATGCAATAAATAAACACATGTCCCCTCATAACTTACTTTATGGCAGGTGCAAGTGGAGGCAGGGATTCCCCTTCAGATCTGTCTCTCCCAGTTCACCCGCTGGCTTCAGAACTTGCAGCTTGAGAAGGGAGTGACATTTCCCAACAAACGACAGACGTCTCCTTCTCCTCTCCCCTCCCAGAAACCGTGTACTTTCCTCACCTGGTCAGGTAAAACACATCTACATTACTAAGTTTGACGTTATCACAAATGATTAGCAGAAGCGTAATTGAAAATTGACTCGAAAAGGAACTGACAAGTGTCAAACTACCAGCTAAAATTGCTTAATAGTCATTTCTCACAACAAATAAAAAATATATATTTTTTATTATTATTATAAACATTTTATGTTAATTAATTTGCACTGCACAATAGACTGGGATCTTGGAGTTTGTTTGCAGTATGAGTGCAAACGTAAACAGCTTCATAAACCCGAAGTTCTCAACAGCTGGATAGACCTGAGAAGCACATACAGGGTGAGTGATGAGAGCCTATAAGTTTATTTCTAAGACTTTCTTTGTCGATATGATTACAGTAATTCACTATTTAAAATGCTAATAACTAACCAAATTCTGTAAAGTCAACAGAGACATGAGCAACATTACATTTGATTACTGTTGTAAAAATCATAAAACAATGAAAAAAGCAAATATTGTCTTTATATTACAAATATGAAATGCTTATATAAACGATTAACTTTTCTTTCTTTCACCAGCTCTTCTACAACAAGAAACCCAAAGGTCTGAATGGGGCACTTCAAGATCTGGGAATACAGTTTTCTGGCAGAGAGCATTCTGGTATCGAATAAATGAAAACTCTCTGTTCTAGATAAATCTGCACATTAATCCCTTGTTTCCTAACTACCTCTTTTCACCTTTTACTCGTTTGTTCCCACTTTAGGTTTGGATGATGCTCGAAACACGGCTCGGCTGGCAGCGAGGATGATGAGGGATGGATGTATAATGACGATCACTCGGAGCCTGGAGCGGGTGAGTGGCCGGCTGACCACGTCTTTAAAGAACCCCCGCTCCTGCAATCCCACCTGAGATCCTTGAGCGTGTACTTTGTACAAAGCAAATAATTTCATTTTTTTTTTTTATCTTGCAATTCCACTTTTTCAAATGTATACAAATAAATTAACTAAATAAAATGACTATAGTCAATAAACAATAAACTCTGTCTTTTACGTTTATTTAACMTTTGAGAACTTGTTATATTTTAAAGAAGAAAAAAAGCTGAATTTAAATCAGAAAAAACCTTGTCCCATCACAGAAAACATTCATTTAGACTCATTATTTGCATTTCTATATGTTTTAAGCCTGAAATATAAGGAAATTTTCAAGTTTCAGCCATCTTTGACGCCATCTAAAATTTCTCAAAAGCGCTAAGTAGTTATTACTTTTAGTGTGTTATTTCTGACAGCTTTCTGAACATATCCTGAAAATTTCAGCTTGTTATGACTTTTATCCAGGTCTAACCCTGTCCTGGACTAATCCGTAGGCTCTTTCAGAAGCCCCGTTGGGTTCAAAAACTTGAACCACTATGCGTAATTAGCTTGGACTGGACTGTGGCTCGTACCATAAAAAAGATTAATAATACAAGTTAAAATAGAAATAACTATAGTCTGTTTCTTGATAACTTATCAGGTGTTTCTTGTACTTCTCACAGACACCAGTGACGGCCAAAGCCATGTTTGGAAACAACGCTCGTCCCGAAGCAAACAAAGAAAAATCGAACACTCGTAAAAAGGAAAACTTGCTCGCCAGTGAGCTCTTATCAGCCAACATTCTTTTCAGAGATGGTCGACAACAACGCTCCCGTTCAAAGAACACCCCAAGAAGTTTAGACTCGAAAGAAAARGTGACCTCAGTTCCAACGTGTCACAGCCTGATCTCACCGAAGACCCTGCTGAATAACGCAAAAAAGACACTTTGGGATGAAAACAGCAGGATAAACGCAGCACCGACTGCTGCCAGCCGCTCAGACACATTCACTGTAAACAGCAGCCACGTTCTGTGCTCAACTACTGTGAGCTGCTTTTCACATCTACCTCGGTCAAACCAGATCTTCCAGACAGGTCTGCTGGACGAGAAGGAGGATACTGAAGTTTTAGTGGAAGCGGAGGAAAGGTGCGGCTCCTACGACGATGTGGTGTTGGAGCGTGGCGATGCTAATGATGAAACCGACAAAGAATGGAATCCTGAGTCCGCTTCAGGTTTTGACAGTGGATGCTGTGAGTGGGATGATCATTCACGTACATCAGAGGTCAACGTTGCGTTAGAAGACAATGTAGCAGGACGCGTGAGCACAAGACGCAACCCCAGGACGCAGAATAATGTTGGTAACACATTATTAGTCTCCAAATCTATAAGGACAAAAGAAACCAGGCAGCATTRAACAATGTCAGAGTCCAAAACGAATTTTGCTGTGCCTCATGTCGTTGACTGGGGTCAGTTAAATCAGAGCAATACAGGACATCTGGCCTCTCCGCAACTTCAGCTAAAGTTAGCCGGCCCACATAAAAGTGTCCAAACAAACATCTTATCAGTCGGGTCTAGGCCAGAAAATACGTCCACTCCAAATACTTCCACCACCAGGCACAAGCCAACCATCGCAAAACACCCCGACCCGCTAAAGTCCCCCTTTACTGTCTACACAGAGAGGAAACAGCAGGCCACAGGGTTCTCCTATCCCTCTCCACAAACTCCCAGCAACATCCTCTCCTCTCTGTCGACCAACACACTTTCCTCCTGCGCCAGTCGCAAAGGACCACAGAGGACCACCTCCCCGCTGTGTGCATGTGGCCGTCGAGCGAAACGCCAGGTCGTGACAAACGGTGGTCCAAACCAGGGGCGGGGCTTTTATTGTTGTCCAGTGCGTCGCTCAGGAGGCAGAGGCCACATGGAGAAAAGATGTGAGTTTTTTAAGTGGGAGTCGGCGCTGATGAAGGGCAGCTCTGTGGATTTGTCTTCCATATCACTCTATCAGATCAACTCCACTCTCCCACACCTGGCTCCAACAAGAAAAAGCTACTGAACTGTTGCAGCTGCACCATCATGACTCAGTTACATTTTTAGCTCAGAATGCATTATTGTTATTTGTTCCTAAGAGTTTATTTTTGTATAATACATAAAGAGGAGAGACATTTGTTTTATTTTAATAGTAAAACATGAGGGTTTACAGAATAAAACTTCCGTAAAGAGCAAAATCTTTTACAAAAGTCAACTACATTTTTTTAAAAGTACATTCAGTTATTGTTAAAACAAACGCTGCTTTGTTTATGTCATTGTATATGTTTTAATATATTTGTGTGCAGCACTGGTAATGAGTCAGAATGAGCACAGACTGCTGTGCAAGATAAATAAAAATAATGAGTTTTTGTCATAATTGAGATTTGAACTATCAACTATCAATCACAGTCACTAAAATAGCAAATAATTATCAGAATCTACCTTTATGTTGATCAATTCTAACAGGTTTGTTTTCAGAAATAATCCTTTGCCCTATAAACTTTAGTTCCTTTAAAATTAACTATTTTTTCTGTTGCTGCTGTCATAGTGCCAGAAAATCCCTTCAAATACTGAAGRTTAGACCTTACCTGGAATTCCAGAATATTCTATCTATAGAAAGTTTTGAAACCAGCCAGGTGATAAATTGACAAGTTTCAACAAACTGCGTTATCATTTTGAAGATTTTAAATGAAAAATTTAAAGATAAAAATAATATAGTATTGAAAATGTCCTCTGACTCATTTTGCTGGCACAAGTCACATTTTTAGTCTACTGTAAATATTTTGTTACCTTTTTAATAAATTTAAATATTTATCTTAGCCATCAAAAGGTGCTGTTAAGCTGAAAATTGTCATACAAACAATTCCAGTCCTCATAACGTGTCTTTTTGAACAACAGAGTAGTTTCATGCAGAAGGAAGTCTATGTTTTTATGTTTAGGGAAGACTGGACGGAGAAACAAATATGGTCAGTCACTATTATGAAACCTATAATAGG